ACGTTAGAAATACATGATTCGGATTCGATAGGCCTTAGTTTTGCCCTGACGTCGCAGACTGGTGTAGCAGACTTGAGTCTAATAGTTTGGGCCTAGTTAGGCGATACTCTTTCTCCGACTATAGTTATCCTTATTTTCCCCGATGTTACGGCTTCACGAGTTACATCGGCGACACTAGTTCTACTTCGCGATTTGAATTTGATTTTCGATTTAGTTCTAAGGACTTACATTGATTGGATAAGTATGGACGGCGTTACATGGATATTTATGAGTGTGGATCGATTAGGACTCTTTCAACAGCTACATTAGCACCCTTATAGAGCATCCGGTTAGAGTTTCGGCCTCTATTGCCCAAATACTGTTATAGAGCATCCGGTTTAAGGTCCGACCTCTATTGTCCATATACTTATATAGAGCATCCGGTTAGAGTTTCGACCTCAGATACTTGTGATTGGTTACTTGGGTACTTCGGCCTATTTCGGGAATTATTGGGTAACTGTAAGCATGCTTTGTGTTATTAATGGACCCTCCTCGCTATGTGGAGTGCTTGCATGCTTAATTACTGTTTATTTGAAACATGTTGGGCCTTAGTTTAGGTTTGACTAGGGCTTACGTTAGAAATACATGATTCGGATTCGATAGGCCTTAGTTTTGCCCTGACGTCGCAGACTGGTGTAGCAGACTTGAGTCTAATAGTTTGGGCCTAGTTAGGCGATACTCTTTCTCCGACTATAGTTATCCTTATTTTCCCCGATGTTACGGCTTCACGAGTTACATCGGCGACACTAGTTCTACTTCGCGATTTGAATTTGATTTTCGATTTAGTTCTAAGGACTTACATTGATTGGATAAGTATGGACGGCGTTACATGGATATTTATGAGTGTGGATCGATTAGGACTCTTTCAACAGCTACATTAGCACCCTTATAGAGCATCCGGTTAGAGTTTCGGCCTCTATTGCCCAAATACTGTTATAGAGCATCCGGTTTAAGGTCCGACCTCTATTGTCCATATACTTATATAGAGCATCCGGTTAGAGTTTCGACCTCAGATACTTGTGATTGGTTACTTGGGTACTTCTGGTGAACATCCGGTTCGAGGTCCGGTTTCTGTACTGTTAGATTCTACTAATTGGGGTTGAGGTTCTGGTTTGATGTTCTTCGTTCTTGGGTTCTTTTATGCAATTCTCTTTAGTTATAGTTATTCTGTGTACTCGTCGGGCTTATGGGGGTCCGTTCGGGTTTTTATTTAACTTGCGCACGAGTGTACCTTCTGGGCTTATGGGGGCCCAGTTAGGTGTAGTTAGCTTATAGATTACTTTAGTTAGTTCTTTCTACACTCGTGTGCATTCCATTGTTAGTTAGATTTTAGTTCTTGACCCTCGGTTTGTATTATTCCTTCTTTTCATATTGCCTTTACTTTTCAAGTTCAGTCGGCCTATGATGCCTACTGGGTACCAGTTGTTTTGGTACTCATGCTATGTTCGAAATTACAATTATGAAATTAGTGGGTAGTTTTTATAATCAAATTAATTGGTGGTTATAGAAGATAGCATTAAAACAAATAGTGGATCACTTTTATAACTTTTTATAATTGGTTATATGATAATTACTGATCTGTAGAAAAGGGAGAAAATTAAAATAAAGAGGAGCCGCACGATTGTGAGAAAAACCAGTTCTAGAAACGGCTTCAAGTGATTTTTCTTACCTTAATCTCTCTTAGTTATATTAATGATATGTATGTGCTTTATTGATTAGAGAACGGTAGATGCTATTGGAATTTATTGTGTAAGTGACTTCTCTCGTATTGCAATTCAACTGGGTTCCATAGAAAACATTGTCGGCAAATTTTATATATATATATATAGTATACTGAGTAAAGGCTAATGAATTGAGTTTGAATGTTGTGGCGGTAGAATTAATTTAATAATTGGTTGAGTAGCAGTGAGTGAGGTCCATGGTTTGAGCATATGATAATATAGGTTCTAGTTGATTGGTTTTGTTAGTGGGATGCAAAAATACTTAATTTGATTCACTGCATTCATGTATTAAAGTGCTGATTTTTATTTATTTATTATTATTAATATATTATAAAGTGAAGTGGGCATATGTATAGTATTGCTGTTAGATGATGGCTGAGAGGAAAGTTAGGCCAACCATTAATGATGTAAAGAATTGGAATGTTAAAGTATAGGCGTTCAGGTAGAAGTGTTCACTGCCACTGGTTTCGTAACCAGTGACTTGAACTTTTAAACATTAAAATTCTTTTACCTTATTATAAATTATAATTTGATACATTGCAATATGAAATTAACTATTAGGTTGAATTTGAGGTATTAATAGTAGGGGTGATAATTATGGTTATATAATTAAGGTTGGACAAGAAGATAAGATGGATAGTGCTGTTGGGTTGGAGACAAATGTGTCTCCCATTAATGAGTTAATTTCCAGTGAGGTTATGTTAAAATAGGTGAGGAAAATTAACTTAGAAAATGGTAAGATGGGTCACACATCGTTTCTAAATAGATATTGAATTGACATGGCTATTCCTCTCTATACTCACGTGAGCATTAATGGAAAATAAGCTAAGGTTGTGTTGTCTTGGGTTGAAGCTGGACCGATGGAACTTGAGGAAAATAAATGATTTTCATTTTAAGTTTAGGATGTTAGTTCTTAAATCTAAGCTAGACTTATAGTAATATGGGATTTATAGACTCGTTTACTTATGAAGCATGTATACTTGATAGATCATAAATCATCTGAGGCATTGAAGAAAGGAAAAGCATTGGAGAGGTAGCTTGTCTGACTTCAGTTCTTCGGTGGAGGTAGGTTATGGTTTATTCTATTTCGATAGTTAGACTCTTAATAGTGACTGATATGTATTGAGTGATATTGTGAAGTTCTCTGTGTACTTGATTGTGTGGTTGTGTGTTTTGGTTGTGTGGTTTGTGATTGGTCTAAAATCCTGA